GAACCAACAGCATATCTACCAGTACAAATAAAGCAAGAGTGACAGAAGAGTAATCCAGTAGGATTGGGGACAATAAAAATCCATCTTTAGAGCTGGGGATGTAGCTTGGTTGGTAGAGTCCTTGACTCATATGCATAATGCCCTGGATTCAATCCCCAGTACAACAACAACAACAAAGTCTTTAAAGGATGCAAAAGTCATAAGCATATACAAAGAAGCAAGGGGGGTACCAAACCCTTCTAAGACCCAGCAGGATTTAATCAATGGGGTACAAACACAGGTGAAGGTGTTAGAAGCTGAGAGTAGCATAGAGGTGACAGGGAACATCAGCAGGTGTTAGCCAGACCACTGAARTGGGAAAAGAGTGATGAAATGGTGCAGTGCAGAGGACGCTGTGACAGTAAAAAGGACCTGTGGTGTCTAAAAAGTCTCTTGGGCAGGTGTGGTGGCACAGGCCTATAATCCCAGTGGCTCAGAAGGCTGAGGCAGGAGGATCKCGAGTTCAAMGCCAGCCTCAGCTAATTAGAAAGGCCCTAAGCAACTCGGAGAGACCCTRTCTCTAAATAAAATACAAAAAAAGGCTGGGGATGTGGCTCAGTGATTAAGTGCCCTTGGGTTCAATCCCCAGTACCAAAAAAAAAAAAAAAAAAAAAGTCTGAATAAAATAGTGCTTATGAAATTAAGTTTAGAGTAGAAAAGACAACTGAAAATTGAGGCAGAAAAGTCATATCGCTCCTTCCAAACCTTTTCAATTAATCTACAGTATCAAAGACTTCTCTGTGGGTGGACTCTCTGGAGATTTAATTATAAAGGGGCAGGTATCAGGACCAGGAGATTTTTGTGTTCTTTCTAGGTTGCTAACCAGGGCATGGGCAAAAAAAACACCATGCTACCCTCATTCACCTTATTCATTGTGTACCTATCTTAGTACCTGATTCCTGTTTTATTTCAAATGTATCCTAATTGCATTTCCCAAAGCAAGCGATTCCATACAGCATAACTGGACAGAAAAAGTTCCTCTTTCTTAAATTTTTCATTGGGGGAAATTCATGGGAGAAAAAAGATGAAATGTCATCATTGGCTTGACATCTTATAAAGGATAGAGCCGAATTTTAAATTACACATCCATGGCCCATGCCTTGTGCAGCTTCTCAGACATAAACAGATCTCATGGCTAAACTATGCTGGCCTCGTTTCTTTGTGATTTTCTAGCTGTGAATGTCTGTGTATTTTTSTATGCTGAAAACAGAGACTAGGAAACAGCCTGATAAAAGCCAGTCCTATATTTTATATGGCAGGAGAAGGAACACAGTCAACACAAACACAGCACAGCACTTTGCTCTGTTGACAAACTTATTGTCTCCCCTTAATGTGTTGTTTTGAATAGCAATTATGTGTCATTTCCCATTATCCTATACACAAAACCAATACCATACAGCCTTTGCTCTGCTATCCAAAAAACTGATCATGAAGAAGACATGGAGGATTCGGGTGCTGGTGAAACACGTCAAGATTGACAGCTTGGCCCAAGAGCACTGTTTAAGCACAGAACAGGTGTGTGGCCTGGCAGCTGGGGTGAGAGGCCGCCCTCCACTTTCTCCATTCTCGCCTCCCTCCCTTGCAATGCTTTCCTCTGGGTCAGAGAGAGAAGGAACAACCTCCCATTTGGGCCGTGTCCCTCTGCCAGAGAGGACTGGCTTGCTCTCAAGACAGCAAGCATCTGACCACTGCAAAGAGCAGTGAGCATGTCAACTCGTTTTATTCACATCCCTCGCTAGGGATTCAGAAAGCCAAGGACACACTGGTGATTTCCCTGGTTTTATGGATCTTGACTCCCCCCAGGCCTGCAACACATTTTTGGTTCGTGTGTTCACAGTGTCCTGGCATCTGCAGTGTGGGAAACCTTAACTGAGAGCCAATAGCCMCACAGCTTCTGCCTATTAAAATGTGCAATTGGATTTCACATGTGTGTTTTAAACACCATTCAAAGCATGATTTACAGGCTACTGTCTAGCCCCACAGCTGTTTTTCCATCCTCCAGACTGAGCTGTTTCTAGGAATCCACCATCCAGATCCCTGGCAAACAGTCCTCCGAGTGTAGGCCGCCTCAGTCACTCATGGCCACTCAGAACCATGCAAAACCTACAGCAAAACCGAAGGCTTCGAGAAAACACGGGGAGGAGGAGCCATTATTTATTCTTTCCACGGAATTGTTCCTTCATGAGAACAGCCCATTTGATGCCTTCTTTCTGTCCACCCCGCCTTCTAATCAACTTTTTGTCATTTAATTAAACTAATCACCCCTGGTCCTTTGATATGGGCTATTTATATACCTTAAAAACAGCACAGGTCCAATGCCTTTTGTGTAGGCCTGACTAAATGGTTACCACCTAGAGCTTTCAGTTACTGTACTGTTTCTTAAGAAGGAAAGGAAAATCGCTTTTATATATAGGAAATTACCTTCCCGTAGCTGGGCAAAGCTGGGCTGTCTGTATTGCACAATTACCTAATATCATAGTGCCATGTTTCTTGTGATACCAGCCCTCCCCTCTGCCCAGCATCTATGACTCTGACTCTGACATCACCCCACAAAAAGTTCAGGCCTCAGGTGTGGGGTTGTGGTTAGCTCAGATTCAAGTGCTGATAATGTCTTCAAAGCATTTGATTTTAAGCTTTTGGAGGTCTAGAACAGTATTGTATTCATGTTTGACTCCTCTGTCCCTGGCCAACCTCTTGGTAGAGAAGACAGGCTCAGGAAGCTGACATTATCTCAACTCTTCTTAGCTTATGTAGAGAAACATGGTCCATGCAGTGGGACATCTATCTATAAGAGATCCTGGTCTTGATAGAGAGCCATCTTTCATGGAAAAATGACAATGGAAAAAGATTGGACACTGAGAGAAACTGCCCAAGGAAAGCTTTTGCTGAGAATGGTGTTTGGATGGACCAATTTCAACCGAAAGGCTTCCATTTCAGACAAAAACAATTAGATAAAAAGCATGTTAATGGGCTGTGGGGTGTAACTCAGTGGTAGAGCACTTGCCTCACACACTCAAGGCCCTGGGTTAGATCCCCAGTATCACCAAAAAAAAAAAAAAAAAAAAAAAAAGTTAATAAAGATCTACAATTTGGGTCAAATTAGATTTTGCCCTCTGGTTGCAAAATACCAATGTTTTCCAATGAGTTGAATCTCAAGATACAAAAAAGGCATTTTCTTTAACCTTTCACATGTACTCTCTCCAGGTCCCAAGTTTGAGACTCTCAAGTTTTCTGGGAAGGAAAAAACAAGCCAACACCATAGACATTCTCCTGCATTTTAAACTGCTGTACAATTGAGCAGCTCGTGTGCTCAGTTTATGACAAGCCATAGCATCTTAAGAAGCCTTAATGAGCTAGAGGTGTGGAATTATTGCCTAGCATATATGAGGCCCTGGGTTCAATCCCAGTACCCGCTAAAAGAAACAAACAAATCTGCCTTCTTTGTTAAACAGCAGTGCCTTAACACAGGGATACCAGTAAGGAACTACAGTGTTTAACACACTGCCTACAGATTTGCAGAGGACAGGACACCAAGCCCTACAACTCAATAAAGTTCTATTTTTTTTTTGGTCTTGGGACTTACCTGTTCATTTCCTCCCACTCACAGACCTCATGAATAAAGATTACCTCGTACWGTTCTGGTAATCTGAGAATTAGACCAGGTTGACAAGTTGAGCCCTTAGATCATCAGGTCAATGGAAGAGTCTTCTATTTTAAACCCTACATTAAAAATAACCCCAAATTTATACTTGCTATAAATGGTCCCAAACGCCAGAAAAGCAGTCAAAAGATGGGAAAAAAAAAGAAATAAAATGACGACCCATAAAATGACAGACTTCTTATATGTCACATATTGTATTGGGCACTTTACAGGTGCACCTTTTCTCATTACTCTCCAGACAACCTGTGAAGGCAGGTCTCATTATCCAGGAAACTAAGATCACCTGGGGAAACACCACTAGCAYTGAAAGAAGTGAGACTCTGATCCAGGCCTTAGTTCCACTTTCTTTCCTGTCTACGAAGCTCTGCCCAGGAATGCAGGAGTCGACCTTAGGGAACAGCTCAGTCCCTGGGTTTGGAACTATGCAATCCAGTGGCAGTTAGCGGCTGGGAGACAMTGAAGGAGGGATCCAAGCATCTGAAGGGGTTGGAGGAGAGCAGCTCCCCTGTACCTCCAGGATCCACAGACTTCCCTCCTTCTCTCCCAATGTCTGATTCAGCAGTTGTCTGAGGTGAGCAGAGTGGTCAACACAGGTCTGTTTCCTGTTCTGGCCCAAACTTTACATTATCCCTTGGTTCACTATGCCACGCCTGCAGGCTCCAAGACTGGACTCTCTTTCTGTCCTCATCTAGCCTTGCTCACATGACCAGYGAGAGGATCTTTTCCACAGCTTCCTGTTTTCTTTTTAAGCTGCAAAAACCGAACCCTCCTCCCAATTATTGCTTCTCCAACATCCTTCAGCTATAAGAATTCACTATGGTGCCCTTGATATACCATGTGGCCTGCTCAGAAATACTCACTCATGCTCCCTCTCACTTCCTACTTTGAATTAACTTTCATAACTGCTACCTCAAACAGCTCACTGGACATTTATATACATATATGTATGTATGTATATTGTGTTTTTTGGTAATAGAGGATATAAGAAAAAAATGAGCAAACAACAACAAACAAAACAAAACAAAAACAAAAAAACTGCTGGATATTCCATTCTGGTCTTGCTCAAACCCACACAGAAGAATCCCGCCCTGACCCATCCCAGCCAGCATGCTCCTTCCCAGGCAATACTCCCGTGAGTACCCACCGCTGTTTTACCAGAGCACTATGCTATTCTTAAAGAGAATTTCCAGATTGACTCAACCTCCCCATATTTCTTCCTTCACTTGAACTGTTAAGCTTTCATGTAGGAGTCTCCTCTAGAAAGAACGAGTGGCAAGGAATCCCAGCCCACCGTTTTTACCGTTGGAGTCTTCCACCTCTTCAGTGGGGGTCGTCTTTTGRGAGGAGTGGTGGGCATGTGAGGAGAGAAGACTGACAATCCGTGGCCGTGGGAGGGTCAGGGCTTTTCCGTGGACCTTGAGGGAGTGTTCCTTCAACTGGCTGATTGTCATGGTGGAAAATGAGCACCAAGAGCACTTGTAGGCATGTTCACCTGGAAGGAGAAGGTGGCGAGGGACAGACGGGAAACGGAGTGGGAGGGGAGAAGGCAGGGCAGAGAACAAACCAACACAGTTAATTCATCCTAGAGATGTGCTTCCCAAGCTTCATGGTCTAAGAACCCTTCCAGGCCAACCCCCTGCCCACAAGATTCCTTGGGGATGAAACTCTTCCATGCTCTCCATAAGCAAGTGGCCTGGTCACTGTTCATGTCATGTCCTTCTAGATGAGGTGAGACTTTGGGATGACTCCACAGTAGGAAGAGAAACCAACCGTCTTTCTTATCTCCTTCAGAAAGGTTTCCCCATCCCTCTTCCTCCCTCTCCATACCAGAACTGACCATGCCGTGTTTCAGTCAACCATAGAAACAAATATGGGCTGGGGATGTGGCTCAAGTGATAGTGCCAGGCCTGGCATGCGCGTGGTGCTGGGTTCGATCCTCAGCACCACATACAAATAAAGATGTTGTGTCTGCCGAAAACTAAAAAATATATATTAAAAAATTCAAAAAAAAAAAAAAAAAAAGAAACAAATATGCTTCCTTCTTAACCTAACCATCCACCAGTGGCTTCCGAAACACACAGTCACTCCAAGCCAGCTCTACAATGCGAGTCCCAATTTTCATTTCCTGACTAACTACACACCCCCTCAAAGTATGTACACACATTCTTTTTTTTTTTTTTAATCAGCTCACAAACCTCATCATAAAATTCCATTTTCCTATCCAAACCAACAGAGCAGAAATGAGTAAAAATAAATCATTTCTTTGACGGAAGAGTTGTGTATGTAAACACATGGGGGTTATATGTCTCACTAATATTCTTCAACAACGAGGACATTAAAACTGAAATACCGCACAGATCAACAGGACCATGTTAAGACAAGAGTGAGGCTTATCTTTACCATAAGTCAACTTTTCAACTAATTACATTTTAAGAATGAAGTGGGCATGTTTATGTTATTGGGCAAATGTACACTAGTATGATCAATTCAGAAAGCAATTTTGCTTCTGGTAACAACAAAAGCACTCAAGCCCCCAACCCAATAATCCTACTCCTTTCTGAGAGTCTCTATAAAGAAAATATAATTAAATTTAGAGAAAATTTTGTTTAGAAATTTACATTACTGTCTGAAAAAGGTATGAAACCACCCAAAATTTTAAACACAAAGAAATGATTAAACAAATGTGGGCATACCCTCTTGATAAATTATCATTAAAATAAATTTTTTGAGTTTATAATAGCATGACAAACTGGAAATAAATAGAAAGACAAAATATATCTTGATTATATTATAACCACAATAATTAAAAACAATTACAGGAAAAAATGGTTAAAAGGAAAACATCAAATGTTAAGAACAGCGGTCTTTAGATAATAAGACTATAGATGACTGAGCATATTTCTTTGCATTTATAATAATTCTTTTAAAAWTTTTTTTTTTTAATTTTACTTTTTGGTGGTTCGAGGGATTGAACCCAGAACCTCATGCATGTTAGGAAGGCATTTTAACACTGAGCTACATCCCCAGCCTCATTTTCAATTTTATTTCTAATAAACATGCATTTTAAAAATTTAATTTTTGAGATGAAAATTTAAAATCAGAGGAAAAGAGAAGAAAAGAAGACAGGATCATTGGTAATATAAGTTTTGCAAGTCAGTACAAATGAATGGGCAGTGCTGTGGGTCTACAGAGGAACAGGAAGAAGAGGAATGGAGGGTCGGCCTGCCCTTGCTTTTAGCTGGCTGAGATTTTGTTTCATTCCTATCATTCTGAAAACTACTAACTGGTTTTATATGCAAAGAGAGCTCAGCATCCAAGTTTTGCAATTAAATCTTCTCACCACTGATGACCTCCAGAGCTTGCATTTCCAAGAGGTCCTGAAGAGAACTACAGAAAACCTTAATTTACATAGCACTACACAGAAGAAAAAAAAAAAAAAAGTTCAAAGATTCAGACACCCAGACAAGAACACAAATCACTTGGCCTCTTGACCACTGCCTAGGAGTTAGGCAACAATGCTGGGCAGCAGACAATGCTGTTTGCTTGTGTATACTATTATAGGCAAGGTTACTGCCCTAACACTACTTGTTTGTTTGTTTCCTTAAATGCAAGCTCGGTTGCATAAATCTTGCTGGGTGGCTCTGAGTCCCACCACATGACAGAGAATTCAAGTCCAGATTATTTGTTTGGGTCATACCACTGCTTACCCTTTAAAATATTATAAAATAATCCACCTAGAATAGACAAATAGAGAGACCTTTWGAAAATGTACTGGCTTTTTCCAAGTCAAGCTTCTCTCAGTGACTCAGAGCCATGCCATGGAGACCTGGTGGAATTATACTGCTCCTATTCTCTCTTTCTGGATGCTTCCTTCCTGCTAGCCAGTGAGCAGAAAAAAGCCAGTCAGCTTGGTCAGCCCCCAAAACAGTCTCCAGTTTAGTGCCCTGGAGTCAGTGCACAGTCTCGAACACTCTTCAGAGTCCTTCCCACAGGTCCAACCACTTACCCAGCTCCCAGAACTTTTGACAAAGCTTGAGGCCTATGGGGAAAATGCACCAGAATGCTGTCCCAGCTCAACAATTTACAATATGCACAAATTAGAAGAGACTGGGGTTGAACTCTGAAGCCACTTACACCTTGAACTTTAGGAGAGTTTCCTGGAGACATAAAAACCCCAAAAGATAGAAACAGGCCCATGTACCTAATCTCCCTGTCCCATCCCTAAACCCCAGTGGGGCTCAGAGCAGCCAGAAGGCTTGAGTAGTTTTATGGTAATAAGCCAGTTCAATGGGCCCACTACTCTGGAGACAGCAAAGAGACACGGGGTACAAACATGGCAAAAGTGAAGGACCCTGGTTTTGGGTAGTTTTTATAATAGTTTTCAAAATGTTACACAAGGCACAAAGGAAGCCACACAGCACCTACCCTGTAGGACTACCATGAAGACTAAATAGGATGATACCTATAACATGCTCAGTGCAGAATCTTAATAGGTAACAGGTGCTCACCAGGTTGACCCAATGAGATAAGCATTGAGAGAGACAGCACAGTTACTACACAGTTGCAACCCCGAAAGAGAAAGGAAACGACTGMCCCATGAGCCCATCTTGAGAAATCTCACACACTTTGAGTTCTCTTTGGTACATCCAACTTCCTTTAGATTACACCTTTATTTTGGGGGGTGGGGGGGGTGGGGGGAATTCTCTTTAGTGGATATAACAATTCTCTGTGATTCCACTGGCAAGGTTAGGTAATTCAGAAATATCTTTTAAGAAGCACAACAGTCTAATTCTAGTTGATAGGATGAATTAAACATGACATGGGTGATTATTTTGACTTTTAATTCTTAAAAATATTATTCTGATTTTGTTTCCAGTTTTCTTTAACAGATAAAAAATAAAACCAAACCTGTAACCATTTCAGGAATAGCTTATGCTCATGCATGGGGAAAGAGAATGAAAATTTCACTTAATAAAGACTGTTGGGTTGTGAACTCAGAGCATGCTAAAGAACTTGTGCACCACAAACACCAACTCACCAGCATGAGCTTTGAGTATGTGTGTTTTCAGCCGGCTGTTATACGAGGACTTGAAGGAGCAGAGTTTGCATCGGAATGGTTTATGGTGTCCATGGTGGGTTTGCATATGGCGATCCAAACTTGATGTGGAAAGGAAAGAAAGGGAAACAAGTTAAAAACTACATTCAACATTTTCTCCACTTTTTACACATCCCACTTCCAAGCTGTTCAAAATCCCTTCATCTACTTTCTAAAGAGGGCCCTTGCCATACAAATAAATCAACAACTAAGCAAGAGTTGTTGGACTTGCTCAAAGAGGAGGGAAACCTAAAGAAAGAGAGGAAGAGATCTTTTTGGGGTAAGAGATGTGGCTAGTGGCAACAAGTCATGGGAGATCCTTATTTTTCTTCTCGGAAGTCCCATAACTAAAAGAGGGCATCCAGAAAAAGAAGGTATAACCAAGATCAGTGAATTCATATTTTCTGCCCAGGAAGTGAGAGTAATTCACTTAACTAATCCARAACAAAAATGGAAATTAGATTTAGCATTTAAAAGGGCTGTATTTTTAAATTTTAATTCTATTTGCAGGGTGAACACTGGAGTAGAGAAGGGAGTTTTCAAAGTGGCTGTCCTGCTTGCAGTGGGCTGATCTGTTCCAGCATCTACGTGAGTATGGAGGCACAGTGCAATGAGTTTGAAGGAGTCATGTGATCAAGGGCGCTAGTCACCCCCCTGTAATAAACCCAACCACATCTGTTGCACATCAGTCTTCCAGAAGCAACTTACGAGGACATTAATTAGAAGAAACCCCCATATTTTACGATAAATAGGAGTCTAAAAAATAATAAATCTACCAAACAAAGTAAGGGGGAAAGTTCTAATTTGTGTCAGTACCCCGGAGAACTAAATGCCATTCTAAATGGCCCACACAGGAAYGCTACTGCTTACCATTTAACAGAATGCAGGTCCATTCCCTCAACCATTCCCAAACTTCAACTACTGTTACCACTTCCAAAATAATCTCTATCTATCTTTTCAACTCAAGAGCAGGAGTTATAAGAGTCAGGCTGGCTGGGATAAAATCTCAGTGATTACTTGTAAGCCATGTGAACTTGGGCAAGCTACTTACTTTCTGCAGGTCTCACTTTTCTTTCTTTTTTTTACTCTTTTTATTTTTTGTTACCAGGGATTGAACTCAGAGGAACTTGACCACTAAGCCACATCCCCAGCCCTATTTTGTATTTTATTTAGTGACAGGGTCTCACTGAGTTGCTTAGTGCCTTGCTTTTTGCTGAGGCTGGCTTTGAACTCCGGATCCTCCTGCCTCAGCCTCCCAAGCCGTTGGGATTACAGGTGTGCACCACCACACCCAGCCTGCAGGTCTCATTTTTCTTACCCATAAAATGGAGATAATAATAGGAACATCCCTCGTGTAAAGAGAGATTTTTGAGAATGTAAAGAGGTAATACTAGAATTTGCTTATATAGTGAGGGACAATTATCAGTTATGGCTACTTTACTCAGACCCAACTCTTCCTTTTACCAGTAATAAAACTTGTAAAGTGTTCATTCCTGGCATTGAGATTCCAAATCTGGTCTCTATTCAAACAGTCACACCTTATCTTCCACTGGTCCTTTACATGTCACCTAAGAACCAGTCAAACTGAARCCCGCCCCTACCCCAGCTGGGCCCAGGGAGCCACCATCCTCCTTGGCTTGGCCCCTCATCTTGTCCTCCACATTTAACCTCCTTTCCCAACTATCCCGGTCCTAGCTTCCTAACTTCAAGACTTGACTCGAGTACCCCACACCCCATAAAACCTTCCAAAGTGGATAGAACACTTTCCTTTGTTGAACTTCGTGGCATTTAATGTTATTTCTCTAAAGAAATGGACCTGAATTTGCCAAGCCCTTTCTTTGTTTGTTTTAGAACCCAACCCTTAAGTCACAGACCCTGTCCTGTTCATTTATGTGCCCCCAAGGTCCAGGGGCTAGTGTGTGTGGAGGGGGTCTTCCTTGTTCACAAGTATTTGCTGGGGTTCCACTATGTGCCAGACAACCTGCCAGGTGCTATTCAGTAAATACTTGTGAACTGAAGGGAGTGAGGATCTAACGGCAAAGATCAGATATGAGGCCCTGTATAATAATAAAAGGTTTGTGACCTATCCTAACCTGGGCAGAAACACTGCTTCCCCCTATTTTCAGCAACCACCGAGTAGCACTTTATCTTTTTAAAGAAACAAACATCCCATCACTTAATTTCAATGTTTACAGAAATAAAGAGCACCCACTCTCAGTTACCCTCCTCCAAGAATATGAAAATGCACAATTGAACATTTACCTCTCTGCTATATAACAAAAGTTTGCTTTTCAAAACTTACTTCCCACCACCCCATGAAGCATTGCACGCCTACCCCAAATTTATACTTCAAAAGGTCTCTTTTAAAATCACAAGCAGTGATTGGTTCTTTGGTCACATGGTTTAATAGTCCTCATTCTCCCTCTTTAACAATTCAGCTTTCCAAATGGAACTCTGTTTCCTTAAATGACGGCTAAGCTGTGGCTGAATATTTGGCAGATCCATAAACTCATCCACCCCCTATTTTTTAAAATGCCTGCATTCGCCAAATCCAATGCCATAAGCATTCCTGTTCTTAGTGCCATTTTATAGCTGAGAAGCCTAAGGCTCAGGCAGCATGAGGGCAGGTAAACCAGGCTGAGTGGGGCCTTCTCACTCATCCTGGTTTCTCCTATTGTAGCTTTAGCTGCCTCCGACTACAAAATCTTCTCCYAGGAACCACTAAGGAACACCCAATAGTACTTACTTGTGCCTGAAGGCAGAGACAAAGGAGCAATACTGGCAGCTGTACTTGTCCTCGCGGGTAAACATGGCCAGGGCCAGGTGGCTCCTCTCATGAGAACGCAGCCCCTGCATGGACATCAGGACTCTGTCACATTGACTGCAATGGTATCCCCCCGGCCGGGTTTCATCCTCCAACATTCCATCAAGCAAGCAGTGTCCACCATCCACCCGGCCCACCAGGGCGCCACTGGCATCTTTGGCCGCTTCCAATCCATCCAGGAACAAGTGGGAAGGGTCGTCAGCCTCCTGCTAAGAGAACCACACACACACACATGCCCCACCAACAAAATAAATATCCATCGTCATTGCCCCCAGCTTTCCTCTGCTCCCTTCATCTCCCAAGCTCATCGGCATTTCCGGTTAAAGGTTCCTCCCCTGCCTCTCTGGCTCCCCCTGGAGGGAGGGCAAGCCTGACTGACGTTCTTCATGCCATGGTGGATTTAAGGCAAAATATCCAGACAACGGTCGCCACTGCCTGGGAAATGTGAGAGGCGTTATCCCAGTCTGAAGACAGTTCACTTGATTGCCCATCTTTCAAAGAAAATTTCAAACTATTTGCTCGTCTAGACCGACATTAAAATTTGGTTAGGGTTATAGTTCAGAGAAAAGAAAAGCAAGATGAGAAACAGCAAAGCGGTCTGACCATCAAGGAGACTTGGGCCATTCTGTGAGGTGAGGCAAAGCAAAAGACCCCGCTCTCTGCCTCCCACCCGCAGACAGTGACTTCACCCTCACCCCTTATCTGCAGGTGGCTGCATAATTCATCCCAAGAGTTAAGGAGCAGCCTGGTTTTAAGTCACCCATTTTTCGAGGTAGTTCGTTGGATCTGATTTTCTCTTGCATTGATTCCAGGAAACAATCCTGGGGCACGCTGCAGTGGTATGTAGAGGAAGCCACCTGCTGCTGTCCCTGGGTTGCCATTGTTCTGTCCAAAGACAGAAGGCTTCAGTCTTCAATGAAGTAGAAGCTTTACCTTTGTGCTAAATTGGCAAAAACAGGATGCAAGATCAAGAAGGGCAGATGACACAAATACATTCATGTATCCAGAGAGAAAGGGCAGAGACCTGAGTTTACTTCCGTGTTCAAAAATGACATGTGCTCAGCAACAGTGTTCTGCAAAGCAGGGATGGAGGTGTGGAATGGAAACTGTGGTTGCTCTTTGGATTATGATGTTCAAAACAGGTGGCCTCGTGAAAGTCAGGGGAGGAGGGAGGACACTTGGCAGCACACGGGGAGAAGGGATGGAACAGATAAGCCAGGTCAAAGGGCTCTGAGGGTCAAGTACAACTCCAAGGCTTTTGGCTTTGGGTTTAATTAATACCCTTCACATTCCCCCAAGGACCCAAGATAAGAAGCAAAGGACAGGGTCTCCTGGGCTTTCTGAATCCTCCTCCAGAAGAGAATAGTAAGATTCGGGCAGCAGGAGGAGCAGATGATGGAAACAGAACCCACTTGATTCCTCGTAAGAGCTCAGGCCGCTTCGAAGAGCAAGAACCTAATGGCACTAACACAGAACTGAAGGACGACCCATAGCCTCCTGTACCGAGAATCCAGGACCTTCTGTGTCCACAAACTATCCACACGGGAGGAAACCAGATCAAAACTCGACCTTTCCCCCAACAGAAAGATGATGAAGGTCCAACCTGCAAAGAAATCAAAGCAAGCCAAACCGAGGGGAGCACCACTCCCGGGAGTGCCCGCGCTCTGAGATGCTCTCTCCCGTGCTGCTTTAAGCAATGGGTTAATAGGTACCTCGAGCCGCTCACACGCAAGAACACGCATCCAGAACTTTCCATTCTCACCTTCACGGCGGCGGACACGGCCGGGACATTGCCATACTGGACGTGCTTCCGCAGGTGATTGCAGATGGCTCGGAGCGTTGGGTGCACTTCCACACAGAATTTACATTTGTAGCCCACCACTTTCCTCTCCTTGATCTTTGGCACCTCTTCTAAGTGGCCAAAAGGCTGGTAAAATACAGTGGTAGCCATCAGTACTCCAAGCCCTCCCTCAATGGCAGGCATTTATTCTTGTAGTTTACTGGCATATTTTTATTTTAAAGCAGATTAGCAGGTTAAACACCAAGGGAGACATAGGCGAGTATTTTTATATAACAAACTTCTTTCAGTCATGGCACACTGCCTACTAGACACAGTCTCTGGAACCCAAATATGTTACGGCTTGTGAGTGGAGAAGATTTCTGTGCAGGAAGCTCATCGTCACTGCCACTAAGTTATCTGGTTTTCAAACCAGTTTCAACTACGCAGGTGAAGCGTTGCACAGCTGCGCCATGAATGAACGTCTTGATTTTTTTTTTTTTTTTTAAATCTACTCCTTGAGGTGTTAGGTGGCTGGAGCAAACACTGAAGACCAAGACATGGCTGAGAAGTGCTAATGGTACCAAGAGACAGCCCACCACGGCCTTAGGAAAGAGCGAGCACTGTTGTATAACTAGGCTTCAGATTAGGCTACTTGGCAGAAAGACATACACAGAAACCACCCCAAACCTCCCCCTGGGGAGCCATGGGAGGAGTCAGAGGGAGAGAGGGAGGGGGACAGGACCGTGGAGAGGGGTGAGCATAGAACAGGGGATATCAAGCTCGAAATGTTTAATTGACTTATTGAGCTCTCTGGCAAGCTAAGTCACTAGGAAGCCTGCAGCAGCTTGGCTGGCAACGAAGAAGTAGTGCATGTGAGCACCAGTGATGAGAGGCCTCCTGGGGGAAGGGGAATCAAAACATATCCTTACCCTCTCTTGTTTGAAATCTGCAAAAGCACCATCTGCATATTTCTGCTTGCTCAAAAGCTGTTTCCTCCTCTCCTGACGTTTGGCACGCTTCTGGAATTCCTCGTTGTGAATGTTCAAGTGTGAGGTCAGCTCGGCTGTGCTTTGCAACTTGCTATCACAGTGCTTGCACTGGTAGGTGGAGCTCTGCAAGCGGGGGCCGTTGCCTAGGATGACGAAGTCCCTCTTCAGGTCCCGGCTGTGGTGGTCAGTGTAATGCATGCACAGCAGCTCCGCGGTGCTGAAGGACAGCTTGAAGCACTTGATGCAGCGGAACGGGAGCCACTCGATCTCCTGGGYTTCGCCCTCCACCTCGGCTTTCTCAAAGCTGCCTCTCTCCTCCTCTTCCATCACCGTGGGCTTCTCGTGTTCATCCGCGTAGACGGCAGTGAAGTAGCCCCCCAACTTGCTGGCGTGCTGCTTCTTTGGGAACACCCCCGGGTGGCGCTTCATGTAATGGGACACGATGCCCTTCTTGCTGAACGACTGGAAGGAGCACAAGGAACACTTTTTCTTCTCCACTGCCCTCCGGAGTTCCTCGCTCAGCTGAGGGGAGTCGTCCTTGGGCGGGGACGGGATGATCACCTTGTTGGGCTTGTCGCTGATGGTCCGGGAGGCTGCCAGGCAGTGGGTGTAATACGCATCGATGTCGTGGCGCTTCTGGTAATGGGCCGCCAGCCCTTTGCGGATGGGGTTGGTGTAGGCACACAGGGCACACTTGAAGAGGTTGTTCTTGCCCTCCGGCTGGGCGCGGACGTTGTTGTGCTTGATGCGGTAGTGCCTGGCGATCCCCTTCCTCGTCGAGCAGAAGTACTTGCAGAGCTGGCACCGGAACACAGTGTGGGAGACCAGGTGCGAGGTAGAGAAGTGAGATGTGGACACGGGCTCCTCTCCCACCTCCTCCTCGGTGAGGGAGACTTGGGAGGGGCTCACTTCAGTGGTTATCTCAGGCTCGAGGGAGACTGGCAGCTTCGGGGGGGATGGGGAAAAGACATCGAATTCGGGCTGGTTGTGGTACTTCTCGTAATGGATTTTGAGTTTCTCCAAAGTGCCGTGCGTGTATGGACAGAGTTTGCACCGGTAGGCACCGTACCCTTGCTTGAAAATCCTRCTCGTCTCCTCCATGTCGTTCTGGGTTATGTCCGCAGACTGCTCCACGTCGTGCACAAAGTCCTCCGCGGTCACCTTGATGGCCGGGTGTCTCTTCTGGTAGTGAGTCAGGACACCGTGGATGCGAGTGTTGATGTAGGGACAATGCCTGCATTTGTAGACGGCACCTGGGTTGATGTCGATGTCCTGGGCGAAGTCAGCAGCCTTCACCTTCATGCCGGGGTGCTTCTTCCCATAATGGGTGAGGAGGCCGTGCAAGTTGTTATACTCTGACTGGCACACCGTGCACTGGTAGGGGGTGGAGGAGATGGCGGGGTTGGCTGAAGCAAGATGCATGCTTTTCTCTGGGGAAAGTCTTGCATCCTCTGGGCATTCGGCTTCCTGCTCGGGGAGCGGGGTGGGCATGCTGTTTTCACAATTCACAGGACCTGCCAGCTCTTCGGGCCCAAGGATGGGCTTCTCCACGGTGTCTTTCTCCTTGATGATATCTAGGAGTACCGACTCATCGCCATTCATGGCCCAGGGGTGGAATGCTTGGTAATGATTGGTGATGTCCCAGATGGAGATGGCTTCAAAAACACAGTCCCTGCATCTGTATGTTTTGGCTTCAGCTGGCATGGTGAGAGAGGATGGGGATGGATCTGGCCCTGCCCAGAGTTTGGTAGCCATGTAAGTATAATCCACATAGTGCTCTGGATGCCTCCTTTGGTAATGCAGGAGCAAACCATTGGGCTCTGTGTGGGAATAGATACACCACTCACAGTGGTAGCCAGCTTCTATCAAGCCATCCAGAAACGCCCATCGCATGATGGACGTGACTGTGGCCTTCAGGGCAGGGTGGTCTTTCTTGATATGCTTCCTCAGTGCATAGAAGTAGGGCGAGGTATATGAGCACTGCCTACATTTGAGCGCTCGGAGTTTAGTTTTGTCCCGCTCCATGCCAGAGGAGGGGAGAAGCATACAGCTAGCAGGTTTCTTCTGGTTTCGGTCACAGAGGCTTCGGATGGTGGCCGTGTGCTGCCGGATCACATCTGCATTGGCCTTGAAGTCTCGGTGCTTCTTCTGATAATGAATGAGTACACCTTTGACCGTCCGGTTCCCATAATCACAGTGCTGGCAAAAGAACATCTCATTCTCCACAGGAGGGCCATCTCTCTCAGAGCTGCTTCGGTTCAGCGGTTGCATGGGGGCAGGAGGCCGAGGGGAGCCTTGGGGCCCTTCGGCCCCTCTCATCATTGCAGCTGTGGGAGGAGCCTGCCTGATATATTTGGCAGTAACCTTTATTTCTGGGTGTCTTTTCTGGTAGTGAACAAGCACTCCCACAACTGACCGATTGCTGTAGGAACAGTGTTTGCAGTAGTAAAGCTCAGTACCGAGGTCTGGTGGCGGGGGTGGTGGGGGGGGTGGGGAACCCATGTTGGACATTTTGGGAGACATTGGAGCACCCACCTCAAATGACAACTGAGCAAGGGCAGAGCCCCTGTCCACAGACACCATGCGCATGGTTTTCTGGATCCTAAAGTAGGAAGCCTTTTCTTCAGGGTGTTTCTTCTGATAATGGACCAAGACAGAATGCATGTTGGGGCTTGCGAATGAGCAAACGTCACAATCGTAAACRACCACGGTGTTGACCGAAGGGTCCTTCTGATTTTCACATTCTGGAGTAAACGTCTTCGAAGGAGTATTCTTACCAAACGCAGCAGGCATACCACCACCACGAGCCACAGGAGTGGACGTCGCCAGGTTCTTGGGAGCCGAGTTCAGAATCTCCCTCAGGGTCTGGGATTCGGTATTCAGACCTTCCTGCTGTTCCACGACATAGCTGGAGAAGATCATCGCATTGTTGATCTTCACGGTGGGATGCATTCTTTGGTAATGGGGCATCAGGCTTCTAACATTGGGGCTCGTGTAAGAACAAAACCGACACCGGTAGATCAGATCCGAATGGTCAAAGTTGAGTACATTCATGGCTTCTGGGTGGTGCTCACCATAATGCTGCTGGAGATCTTCGAAGTTGGTGTAATCGATATAGCACTCCAGGCACCTGTATACTGCACTGTGATCATTAGGGTCCAAGATGTACCTAAAGCTGAATTTAATATAGGGGTGCATTCGTTGGTAGTGGGTGCTAACACTCCGGGCCGATTTGTTGTTAAAGTCACAGTGTTTGCAATAGTAAAGTCTTCCCGAGTCACCAAAGTCTGTATTTTCATTGTTGTGCTCAGTTCCATAGATAGGAGTTTGGGTGTTCAGCAGAGCTGCATTGGAAACCTGATGATCTTTCATGTTTGTTGAGGAACCGTAATAATCCTCTTCATCCTCGGAAAGGGTGAGCTCAATCTCAGCCCCGTTGGTAGCGTTATAGTCGTGGGTGATGCTGCGGAAACTGGGCTCCTTCTGGGGCTCACTGGCATCTCGGGCCCAAATCTGCTGGGCTGAAAAGGAAGTGGGAACCTCCAKGAGCGGTTCTGTGGGCTCCTCTTCCCTGTCCAGCTCCACCTCTATCTCCACTTCATTGTCTTCCTCTTCCTCCTCGTCGTCCTCCACATTGATCACGGCATCTTCCTGCTGTTTGGTTTGGTTAATCTTGCTCTGCAGGTTGCTTGCTATCTCGTCGATCCTAGTTCTCTTCTTCACGGGCGATAAATCGAGAGGAAAGTCATTAGCGAGCTTCCTAGAGGCCTTAGCTACAAAATTGTTCTTGGAGGACAACCCAAGAATTGAGGTCTGACTTTTCTTCACAGTGCTGCTGGAAGAGGGGTGGCTGTCGGTCTCGTTTTCCAGTGGTAGGCTTGAGGGTTGCCCCTCAAATTTTGGCAAGTTGTCACAGAACGAGTGTTTGTGCTGCTGATGGACTCTTAGCCCTTTCAGGGTGGTGGTGGAGTAATTGCACATGGTGCATTTGTAGGGGTGCAGGGGCGGGGCCTGTGTGGGAGGTGGTGGCGGCTGCGTGGGTGGCGGCTGTGGCTGGGGTGGCACCTGATGTGGCGGCTGGAGCTGCGGTGGCTGTGGCTGCTGGAGTGGCTGTGACGGTGGTGGTGGCGGTGGGGGTGGCGGTGGTGGCTGGGGGGGCTGTTGCTGCTGCAAGGGATCCAACATGGCTCCCGACTTCCTACCATTGATGCTGGGGCTCTCATAGGACACCACGCCTTCATTCAGCGAGGAGGAAATGCTTTCGCTCTGGGAGTTCATAGCGTCCCAATCTGACACAGTACCCGTGTGACACTGTTTATGAGCCCCAAGTTTTAAGGAGCTCTTGCAAGTAAACGGACATTCGTCACATTTGTAGACAGCTGTCTTTCCCGATAAGTGGATGTTTTCTATGTGACGGGAGATGCTACGTCGATGCATGGTAAGGAAAGGACAAAAGGGGCACTGGAACCTATTCATGAATCTTCTAAACGGAATCCCCTTGGTCTCCAATAATTTGTTGCCATCGGAGCCCATCAGCTGCTCTGCAGACAGGCCTGATGCCTGGTGATCCATGGCATTTAAGCCATTCTCACTGTCTATTTCATTTAACTCTTCATCAGAACTAGAGTCATTTAGCATGCTGTTAGTTTCCAGGTCAGCAGAAGAATTGGTCATGTCAGTCATTCCATAACGGGATCTCTCTGCCAAGTTAACAAGGCCAGAATTATGAGGTGACTTCGGCTTCATCTGAGGGTAAGACATGGGCGAATACTTGGAAGCTGAAGAATTAGGTCTCATGATGGAGTTGCCGATGGAGCCCCTATAGTTGGAGACGTTGGTGTTGGGTATCTCCCGGCTTGCAGCATTCATGGACAGATAAGTGGAGTTGGATGGGGGACTGGGGGCATTCTTGTTCTGCACTTCAGGAAGATTAGTCCCTTCTTGTTGCTGTCGGAGGCTGGAAAGGATCTTGACCATGCTGCGGTGCTTCTTCATCATGTGGTCACACCAGCGTTCTCGGCGAGGTGTCTGGTAGCTGCACCACTCACAACAGAAGTTGCCTCGAGACTTGGTCAAAGGCTTCACCATGGATTCTAAGATGCTACGCTCCACAACCTCTGCTGGCAGTTCCTTGCAGGGGTCCTGCAGGGACACAGGAGGAACCACGGGGTCTGGCAAGGGGACGGGAGCAGGTGGAGGAGCTGTGCTCTCCTTCAGGTTGTTTTTGTGGTACATCTTCTGATGCTTAATTATTCTTGCYCTCCTTGGTGACTTATATGTGCAAAACTGGCAAGAGAAGACCTTTCCAAATCCCTCGTGCATCATGATATTATAATTTAAGGATCCTGGGACTGGAGGTCCTGCTGAACTCCCTTCAGCTTGAGCCCCATGGACCTTCCTAGTGTGTTCTATGAGGAGGGTTTTTGACCTGAAGTAGCGTACGCAGAACTTGCATTGAAAAAACTTGTTTGTTGGTTTGGGATTAGGGGCAATATGCTGACCATAATATCCTGGACTGTGGCCATAGTAACTTCCGGTCCCCAATGCAGTTGCATTTTGACCTAGAGAGAATGAACATATAAGCAAAGTGAGAAAAGAGAATTAAGAAATTCAATCATGCAAATCAGTATCATTTCAATTATTCTTCATTAATAAACATCCCATTTGGAAGGCCTTGTGCCTCAAGATGTTTTCATGAAGAGATTTCACAGAGCACTAATGAACAGACATGCATGCCCCCTTCTCCCCGATGAAGATGCAGTGAACRGCTCTAGTTACCACCCTCTCTTCATCTTCAGAAATGAGCCACAGAGCTAGAAAAGTACCAGTTTCATAAACTACGATATTTATTCTAGAACTTTTGTTCTCAAAAGTAAAGAGTAGGAGACAGGAGGAAGCTAGAAGGACCAAAACCTAGGCCCCTCTAGGAGAGAAAAATGATGCCCAAGCCAACAGCAATGGCCCGCAAAGAGCAAGAAACTTCATAGAAGCCACACATATCCAGAACTGTGGCTGCAGGCTAAAAATAAATGAGAGCAATTAGAATACATCAGATATGCCGAGTTTAGTATAGAGTTACCTGATAAATCCTCGGCAATCGCAAACTCATCCTTTATAGAAGAAAACTCCACCTCCGTCTGATTACTGGCATTCATGGACCCGGATCGTGGCTCATCATCATTGTCCTCAGCAACATCAGTTGGCTGCAGAAATGCTGTGTGGACATCCTGAATGTGTGCCTTGAGATCTTCATAAGATGGGGCTCTGAAATCACAGCCATCACACTGAAGCACCTCCATGATCCGGGTCTACTCTCTCACATTAGGAACCTGCAGAGAAGTCAGAAGAAAGCATTGTAAGGAAGGCACCAATCCCGCACCTCAAGCCGAGGGGGCCACAMGGCTGTTCATGGAGAAAATTCCAATATCATCGGTACATTGTTCTTATTCAGCTTTGCTAGCCGGAACCCTGGCCAAAGACAGGCAATCAGACATAATAGAGACGATGTCCTTGACTTCATAACTTCAAAGAAGAAAAGAAAACCCAGATAAACGTTTTTGGGGGGGTTTGATAGATTTTCAAATGTCATTTGTCAAGGAAACCCTTAACACTTCACAAGTTTTAGCAGTTTCCGAGTTTCTCCACTAAATTCAAATTTCTTGGTACCTTAATATTGACTTTGGTTCTGCCTCAGACTGATTTTTCTTTTGGAACTAGAGTCTTCTTAGAAGTACCGGAGGCTGTCCACACGGGAGAAAGGGCAAATCTCCATCTCCACGAGCCGTTTTAATGTTATTACATGGGTGTTTTATCACAAAACGGTGGAACARTATTGAAATCTTGGGAGTGGTGGATTCTATTCTCATATGTACTATTTTTATATCCTCACTGATATTGGGGCCCACCTGTTTGCCAAATAGTTTAACTCATGGAAAAAAAAAAAAAAACTAAACGGTTATTTGCTCTTTTGCCACCTACCAATTAAAACCTGACAGCTACTCCAATCTAATTAGGTCATAAAATATTTCTCATGGGGTTTTCAAACAACCGGCTTTAGATGACAATCCAGTTTCTAGTTTAAAGTTGCACCTTGGCAACTCGATCGACATTAAGACAAGAGAAGCTTGCAGTTTTGAAGCAGGGCTTCCTAAGTCCTGATTTTGTCTATTTCCTCATCTCTCCTTTACAAATGTGAAGTGCATACTTGGATGCAAAAGCTGTGAACCTGGTGTGGAATAAAGCAAAACCTGCCCAGCCTCCTTCTCTGCTAGTTACGATAGGGCTGAAGTGTACAGAAAACTTCATACTAACTCAATGGAGAGTCCCACCCTCAAGAAGTCAAAAAATGTATTACAAAGGTGTCATCCTGCCTATCCAAATCTATATCCTACCTCGAGATAGCCAGTTATCATCTTAATGAGTTACTTCATTAAGCTCACAAACTCTACTGAGTCATTGTAATCTAGAACCAGATGTCCAAGAACGAAAGCTGAGGCCAAATCTATTTTATGATGCAATTTTTTTCTGTTACTTTTCTAATAAAAGATAAATGATTTCTGCAGGAGGAACAAAGTCCAGTAATAATATGTCAATGTAGTACAAGGAGCCGTCGCATGAGGATTTTCTCTGAAAGAATGCTCCTCCTGATAGCCTGCTAAAATAACTTCTGGCAAGTCCAGCTCTGGACACACTGAGCTTGCAGAGTGAGAYGCAGATATTTACCTCCTCTTCTTTCACCCAGTCATTTATCCTTTTTCAATAAACATTGAACTGTGCACCAGAGTCTTTTCAGCTAACTAAGTCTCAATATTCCAGATCCACAAGCTTTTATGTCTAAGCACCAACCCAAATTGTGTGGAAGAGGTTGCTATCAGCTCTGGATCAAATTACAGCAGTCAGAGGCCCCACCCCACTTCTCCTTTGCACAGTCCATTAGACCTGAAAACAAATTTTTCCATGGTGCGGACGACTCCTGCATTTAGAACACTTCACAGAAAAAAGCAGATCATCCAGTGCGCACTCCCCATCCCCCCCGGCTTAGTCCTTTCATCTCAGCCAAACAAGCCACAGCTCTGCTGAATGTGTTTATCACACTTTCAAGAGATAGGAGCTCCTGCGTCACTGGAGCTCTAAGACTCACTAAGCTGCCCTAGTCCTCTGAGCTTTAGAAGCAGCCATTTTAGCTCAGAGCTTCTCCTCCGTGCACAACATGGCTTCTGGATCCTGCTAGGCTGACAATCACCAGTGAATGCTACAAGGGCAGGCTGGGCTCCTCCTCTGCTCTTCTCTTCCCAACAAAGAATTAACTGTTTTCATTTCTTTTCGAAAAGCAGCACCTTTCTCCTCCTCAAATGTCATTCACCAAGATCTCCAAAGGTTCTTTTATTCCATGATTGATATGCTGGCTTGTGAGTCCTAGCTGAGCACTGGCTAGAACAGGACGACTCAGGACCAGACCCTCTTCTACAGCAGGGTCTGGGGGTACCCTGGGGGGGGGGGGACCTCCACAACGCCTTGGCTTCTTGGGAGTCGTCCTTCCACGCACAGAAGACATACCATCCAATGGGGCTTGCCAGATTCCAAAGTCTAATGACCTTTGTTAATCACCAGCCAGTCTGTCTGCATCAGCAGACCCTGCCAACAGACACACCCTTCAACACAAAGGCTGTAGCTATTCCTTTTAAAAGAGGTTCTCTGAAAGCTCCATTGTGTAGCGGAGAGGAAAACAAAATCTCTTCCCTTCAAAACTTCAAGCCTTTAGAAATAATGCAACAAAAGGCTTTCTGCTGTGTGTCTTTTGGAAAGTTTGAGCCCGCTTTGCACAACATCAACAAAAATGACGGCTCCGCACAAGGAAAGCACCGCACCTACAGCATTAAGTCATCCACCCGGAGATGGAATTCATCTCTCTTGGTGCAGCTCTCTTAATATCTTGGTGTCTTCTGAAGCTGTTATCAAGGATGCTAACCTCACTGGCTACAAACACAAACCAACAGTCTCCTTGTTCTGCTACAAAGGAGATTAAAGGGTAATGAGATCAGAAAAAAAAAAGGGCCACTGATTTGGAAAAAGAAGAGATGATGAAAGTGATTTTCTAATGGGTTCTAGCTTTAATGTTGTTGCAGTCCCGACCTCAAAAATAGCTCAGAGCCTTAGAAGAGGTTAATCTCCAGGCTGCTGAGAGAACTGGCGGCAGGTAGAGCAGAATGGCCTTCAATTTGATGTCTGCACCAAGACGGAAATGAGAATGCAGCCTACTTTGAAAGCCTCTTTGCCTTTGTGTACACATTTCTCCTGAAGATGCTGACAGAAGAAGCAAACAGAAATTGCTGGCATGGCCCAAACAATCAAAGAAACAGAAACTTGATATGTTTATGAGACTGTAGATGTTTACTCGAGCAAAAGGCAAGAGTAGGAGAAGAAATGAGGAAGGAAGGACAAAGAAAACTAGACCTGGGGATGACCTGCCCATCTGTCAACCAGCATATGGGGTTTTTTGGAGCAGACGGTGATCTTCTAGAAAAAAAGATGAGAAGTGAAGCCCCGTGCATGGGACTATTCCATCAACTCAGAAGAGTGGTGACCTTAAGGGGCTAACCTAAGAGGCTACCGATTAATGATTCCAATTTAAAAGCCTTGACCTCAAATCCACCTACTTCGCTTTATAACACTGCGATTATGAGATTAGCAATATTTTTTTTCTCACCAAATCAGAAAAATCAAAAAGCAGAAAAGGAAGCTTTCTGAACTAAAGGAAAAGAAACACTATTTGGAAGGTCATGAGATCAATCTACAAATCCAACAAGCACCCCCCTCTACCTCTGACTCCCAATGCAGATCTCCAGGCCCCTGAAGGCCAAACAGGCTTCCTTTAGGAGCATCCATCTTTAAACACCACCCCTGCTGGATGCCTGCAAAGTGAATCCAGATTCATTCTCCAACAGCCSACACCTGGTGTGACTGGTCCTCCCGACATGAAAACCCTAGACAATCCTAATTATTTGTTGTTCTTCAAACTTCTTATTTTGGGTGGCTGGTTTGTTTGGTTTCTACTTATGGTTTGCAAATTTCAAAATGTGGAGTTTTGATGGGAAACTCCAGAATCAGTCATCCATTTTGACAAACACCTGAAGTCATTAGAGAGCCTCCAGAGATAGATCCCCATTAAAGATGTGGGGTGTACACACTGGAATGGGGACAGGGACACGGTGGACACAGGCTGATCTTTCTCGGTCTCAAGAACACCAGCTTCCATTGGTACCAGCTGTCCGCCCACCATCTATGCTCAGAATTCCAGAGGTGCATGTGCCTCCATTTTTCACCTGGGAAGAAGAAAGCAGACTACTGCAGCCTGATCCTGTGTCCTTCCAACTCACTGCTCAGATGTAACTGGAGAGGGGAGGCGTCCTTGACGTTTCCCAGCCTTCTGGCAAGCCTGCCGCCGTCCAGCCTCRTCCAGGTCAGCTTGGCAAGCACTGCTCTCTCTTTGAGCTTGATGGCCAAGAGCAGAACGTGGTCCTCAAGTCAAAACCCCAAATGTCTCCAGGAAGYGACCAAATTAAAATGCACGGTCGTTGCCTGGATCTGACCTGTTCTCTGACTGAAGGCCTGCAGACCAGAAATAAAGCCGAGAAGCCCACAGCCATGTGATCCAGTGGCAACTAATTATAACCTTCAAAGCCTTTGAGAAATGGATCCAGATACACCAGAAGGTGCTCTTCCTCTGGCCACTCCAGAAACCTACTTTCATTTACAAGACACTGAGCTCCCCAGTTCTCCTCAGTCTAACCAAGGGCTTTAGTTAGCACCTGTTGTTTGCCCTTTTCTGACTTTCCTTTCCTATGAATGGAAATACTAATTACCAGGGACAGGTGACAGTACACATACATGTTGGAACAGAAACAAAAATACAGAAAAATCAGGAACCTAAAGACCATTCTTAAAAATGCATTTACAGACCAAAAGCTGTTGTTACGACGAGCCCAGTTGTGGGGTATATTGGGAGGCTAATATTTCTAATTGCAAGCCCCAGGATCAAAGGATTAAAAAATGGGGGACAAACACTAATTAACAAACTTGGGAATGTTGGGGTGCTACTCTTTGCAACAAGGGTTGTTCTAGACCACCATTAATCATTTATTCTCGTCACAGCCAAAGTGAAGTTCTGACAATTTAAAAACCATTTAAAGTGTCTTTGTAAACAGCATTGGACTGAGAAGCTGAGATAAAATCTCAGGAACAGTAGTTAGAAAATCAAATCCACAAATGCCAATATAGAAAATCTAAGTAAGTAGGTAGGTAGGTAGGTAGGTAGATAGTATTTCTTGAC